TCCAGGTTCAGCCCTGGCACCCACATAGCAGACCACAGCTAACTCCAGTTACAGGGGGTCCAGGTTCAGCCCTGGCACCCACATAGCAGACCACAGCTAACTCCAGTTACAGGGGATCCAGGTTCAGCCCTGGCACCCACATAGCAGACCACAGCTAACTCCAGTTACAGGGGGTCCAGCACTTTCTTTTGGCTTCCATGCATGTGGTACACTTACATGTAGATAACAGCATGAAAGAATAAATCTTTAAAGTGTGGGGGGAGGGCAGCTGGAGAGATAGCTCAGTGATTCAGAGCACACACTGTAACCCAGGAGGCAGAGGCAGGCGGATCTCTGTGAGTTCCAGGACAGCCAGGGCTACAGAGGGAAACCCTGTCTCGAAAAAAAAACACCAAAACCAAAACAACAAAAAACAAGAAACCACACTTGGACCAAAAGATGGTGGAGTTGATGTGCTCAGCCTGTCTTTGTGACGGGAAAAAAGAAAAAAAAAATCAATCTTGTGTATATGGGTGTCTAACTTCACAATTCTAGGGTCAGTTACCGCACTAGTGACCACCCTTAGATTTTTTTTAATTTATAATTTTCTCATTCTTACATATCTGTACATGAGTTTGCATATGTTGGGATAGGGGTGTAGGGTGTGCAAAGGCCAGAAGAGGGTGTTGGATTCTCTGGAGCTGGAATTCAAGGCAGTTGTGAGTTACCTGATATGGGTGCAGAAAGAGAGGAGGAAAGGTGGGAGGGAGGGAGGAAAGGCTGGCAGAAGGAAGAAAAAGAAAGTGAATCTTGGGCTTGTAGGAGATGAAGAGAAGAAGCGATGTAGCCTTGAAGAAAGAGATACAAGAAGAGTTGTGACCATAGGCTGGTTAGTTCCCCTCAAGGTGGAAGAGGATAATTTTTAGCTATGTGAGGGCTAAGAGGTCACTGCCCTCATGTGGCCAATACACAGAATAACAGTCAAGACACCTGCCAATTTGGTAGGATTGCAGTCTCAGGATCCTCCTACCTGTTTGTCCTGTGTGCCTAGGATCCTGTTGGGATCCGATGAACACCAAGCATTCAGGACCAGCATTCTCCTGCTGCTTACATCCCAGTTTCTCCTCCTTCCTTAACTCTTCAAAGTTAATCCTTCAAGGTCTTTTGCCTCTCTTCAAATCCTATTCCATCAGCTAGACATCCTGGGGAACACTTTTGGTTTTGAAAGTCTCACTCTGAACCTTTGGCTGACCTGAAACTCTATGCAGACCAGGATGGTTGCAAGCTCAGAGATCTGCCGGATTCTGCCTCCTGCATATTGGAATTAAAGATGTGTGTCATACCTGAACTCTAAAAGTTCTATCATGTATGGTGCATACACATGCCACAGCAAGTCTATGGAGGTTAGGGGACAATTGCGGGAGCCATTCTCTACTTCCACCATATGGAGCTCAAACTCGACAAAACAACTTTTTCTTCTTTTTAGACTCTATGTATATGACTGTTTTATCTCCTTGTGTATGTGTGCATCACACACATGCGTGTGTCTGTCGAGGTCAGAAGAGGGTTGATTGTTCTAGTGAGCATTTCTACTGCTGTGATGAAATACAACTAAAAGCAGCTTGAGGAGGAAAGTGTTTGCTTGGCTTACACTTCTGTACCTAGTCCATCACTGAAGGAACTCAAATAGGGCAGGACTCCAACAGGCAGGAGCTAACAGAGGCCATGGGAGTGCTGATCCTGTTCCCGCCTCCTTTGTAGTGACATTTCATTTGTATTTTAATAAATTAAAGCTTGCAGCTTGCCTTTTAGTTCAGAGAGTAAAACAGCCACACTGATCAGCCTTACAGAACACACACCTTTAATCCCAGTAGCCACACTAGTTTGCCATAGAAACCGGGTGGTAGTGGTACACGCCTTTAATCCTAGTCCTAGAGAGGATTATAAAATGGAGGAACAGCTCTCACAGTCTCATTCTGAGCATTCCTGGAGGCAGCATCGCCATTTAGGAAAAAGGTAGAGGTAGAAGCCAGTGGTTGGCTGTTTGGCTTTTCTGACCTGCATGTTGAACCCCAGCCTATCTCTGTTTTTTGTTTTGTTTTGTTAAGACAAGGTTTCTCTGCAGCTTTTTGGAGCCTGCCCTGGAACTCGCTCTGTCGACGAGGCTGTCCTCAAACTCTGCCTGCCTCTGCCTCTGGAAATAAACTCTGCACCACCACTATTGGCCATCTGGATTCTCAGTTGAGCTTTCTTCTCTCTGATGACTCTAGCTGGTGTCAAGTTGAGATAAAACTAGCCAGCATGCACATTACCACAGACCTGGAGTTAGCCATCACAAAGATGCTGGGAATTGAACCCCGGTCCTCTGCAAGTGCTCTAAGCCAAACCCGCTCCCCACCCCCACCCCACCTTTATTAAAAGCAAGAATCACTGGATGGTGGTGGCATATGCCTTTAATCCCAACACTCAAGAGGCAGATCTCTGTGAATTTTGAGGCCAGCTTGGTCTACAAAGTGAGGTACAGGACAGCCTGTTAACAGAGAAACCCTGTTTTGAAAAAATCAAGAGTCAAAACACACCAGGTGTTAAATAAGCTGCTTCTCTTTCCACTGTTTATTATTAATGTACAAAATATACAAAATCAAAAGAAAAAAACTCCTCAAATCCATTGTGGTTCTAACCCAAGACCCTGCACAAAACCAACCCACTGTTTTCATAGAAAACAACTGACGCCAAGACAGGGAAAGGAGAGGACGGACAGGGCCACTCCTGCTGACCTGCCCAGGAAGGACAGGGACAGGGCCACTCCTGCTGACCTGCCCAGGAAGGACAGGACAGGGCCACTCCTGCTGACCTGCCCAGGAAGCCTCACACTAACAGGGTTCCGTAGGGGGTAAGGAGCAAGTCCACTCCCACAGGCAGTGCATGTAGTGCATCAGGCCTGGTATACAAGGCCTGGTATACCCGGTGAAGCTGATGAAAACTGGTCTCACGGAAGTGTTTAATGGAGTCTCTAAAATGGCTGCAGGCAAGAGTGGCCTAACACTGCAGGTCTGCCCTCTGCCAGCTACAATGTTTAACTGGATGTGGCTGTGAATGAGCCATCACTGAACCTAGCTGACCCACAATGACCTGGGTCCTAACAGTTGCAGTTTTCCTTGAGAAAGGACTCACCAGTGACTGGCCCATGCGGGCACAAGGGGGGTGGTTCCAGAACTCAATTCTGCCAGCTTGAGCCCTCAGTGCAGTGGGATATATGGTACTCCTCACCACCCCTCAACCTGTGATATGGACTTGGCTTGGATAGTTTCTTAAGTGCAGTTGACCAACTCAGTTCTGTGTGCAAGTGGAGAGCAGAGGTCTCCAGCGTGACCAGCTTTAGGTTCTCAGGCATTGGGGCTAATACTGGAAGGGGTTTGGGGAACAGGGCAGATCTCGTCACAAAGTGAAGCCAGCAGTCTCAGCAGTCCAGCGTCTAGAGTGTGTCCAGTCTCTCTCCTCTCCAGACTGGAGGGGAATATGTACATCAATGTGCACCAGTGATCAGAAACCCCCCGGAACCCAACCAGGTGGGAACTGAGGGGGCCGGCTCCTCATCAGCTGGGGAAAAGGGGAAGTGGGCCTCACAGAAGCCATAACCGAGTGGAAGGAGCAAGGCTGCAGTCCACAGGGGCGGGAGGGGCAGGAGGCTTAGGGCAGCGGGGGCCCATTGACCCCCGGGTGATAGAAGGCACAGTTGTTCTCATAGCGGCAGCTGCCCTTCATCATGAAGTGTCGACAGACGGGGCGATTGGACATATCTGTGGGATGAAGGCAGAACGGTTAGACATCAGCTGAGAGACCATCCCTCCTACCGCAGACCTCAGAGACAGTGTGTAAAGATGAAGGACAGAAACTGCCCTCCTTATACACAGAGAAGACCAGGAGACGGAACTCTCACCTCCTCCATGACTGTGGCCTCCATCATGCCCTCGGTGGCCGCCTCCCCCATGGCCATCATGACCGCGATGCTCATGAGGTGGTGGCCCTCGATGGTCATGGCCTCGATGACTAGGAACATCATGTGGCCGGTGGCCATGGGGTCCCCCGTGTCCAGGGCCTTCATGGGGACGATGTCCACCACTACCACCCATGCTTCCACCAGGGCCATCATGGGATCGATGTCCACTGCCCATTCCCCCTCCAGGGCCGTCATGGGATCGATGTCCACTGCCCATTCCCCCTCCAGGGCCGTCATGGGGGCGATGTCCGCTGCCCATTCCCCCTCCAGGGCCGTCATGGGATCGATGTCCGCTGCCCATTCCTCCACCAGGGCCGTCATGGGATCGATGTCCACTGCCCATTCCTCCACCAGGGCCGTCATGGGGGCGATGTCCACTGCTTCCGCCCATGCTCCCACCAGGGCCTTCATGTGGGCGGTGCCCACCACCTCCAACCATGCCTCCTCCACCAGGACCCCCTCGGCCATTTGGGGGTCCTCCTCCAGAACGACCTCCTCTGGCTCCTCGGAATGGAGGGGGTGGCGGCGGCTCATTTCCTCCACGACCTCCTCGGCCTCTGTGGTATGGTCCAGGACCAGGTCCAGGACCTCCACGCATTGGGCCACCTCGCATGGGGTCACCTGGGCCATCCCAGAAGGGATCACCTCCCCGAGGAGGTGGGGGACCCAGTAGACGTGGACCCACTGGTCCACCAGGGCCTCCGTGGGGACCTGGAAAGGAAAAGACCTCAGTTATCTGTTACACTCTAGAGCAGCCACCTCTAACCTGACCTTGTCCACCTTCTACCATCCCTGGCCGTGGCCATGATGAAACAATGAAGTAAGCCCATTGAATCCCTCTCACCTACCTGGCATCGGCCCTCCAGGACCAGGGGGGAAATGCTGCATACCCTTGGGACCCCCGGGGCCTCCTGGTGGGAAGCCATTGGCTACAGGACCAGGACCTAGGAGTCCATGTGGCACTGCAAATGAAAACAAGAGCCAAACAGTCAGAAAGAGAATTCTAACAAGAATGGCATGGCTTCCCACACAGTGGATCCAACTAATCTCAGACCAACCTAGCAGAGCCATGCTCTCTGTCCAGTTTTCCCACCCCATTTCTTGCCCAGTCCCATGCTTTTCAGCATCTGGAAACCCTGCTTCCCCTCCTACCACAGGGCGTCCTCCCCAGGCCCTGGGGATTGACTCTGAGGATTACCCAGCATCTGCTTGAGCTTATCGGAGTAGTCTGGCTGTTTCAGCAGTTCCTCTGAAGGGTGGCTGTTTGGACTGCCCTGTGAGCAAGCAAAATGACAGTTCAAGAGAGCGACAGCCAGGATAAAGCAAGAACGTGTATATAAATGGAAGGCAAAGAACTGGGATAAGCTGGGTACAGCGTGTAGGCTGAGTCCCAGACCAGTTTGGGCTACACCATGAGACCTTTTCACAAAACTGAAACCAAACATCCTAAATGGAAAAAAAAAAAAAACCATATCCAAAAACTAAAATCTAGAGTGAAGAGTGGGAGAGAGAATTCGAAGACAACACACGGAGATCACTTGAGGAAGAGGGCTCACATACCATGATGGAGGTGAGGATCTCCTGGACATTGATGCCTCCTCCTCCAGGGCCCTGGGGGCTCTTCCCAGCTCCCATGCTTCCCATAAGATTGGCCAGAACAGGAGGCAGCTTGGAGCCTCCTGCGCCATCAGGTGAGCCACCAGACACTCCAGGCTCCAGGGTTTCAACATACGGTGTCTCATCCATGGAGCACTCCTGACAAGAGAAGAAAACAGGTCAGGGCTGTGGAAGCCAACAGAGGTGTCCTCACCCTGCACTGCCGCCCCACCACACTGCTGTGTCCAAGGACTCACCTCATCCAAGGGGATGAGTTTCGGGGGTATAGGCTCATAGGGCTCAGGATCAGGCTCATGAGGACTGAGAGAGAGAGAGAGAGAGAACACAATCACATGAAGTTCTTAGTAGTGCCTCCCAAAGCTACCCATCACGGTCCCTGGCACTGACACCTGAACTCACCTCTCCTTGTTCAGGAAGAGCTCCTGAAGGATGCCTTTCTCCCGCTCAGCCTGGATGTATCGCTCCTGGCTATTGCTTCCAGGGATAACGAGAGGTGAGGGTAGAACCAGGGGCCGGGGACACACCCAGGGCACTTTCTCCTCCATGTTGTCATGGCTTAGTCGTCGGGCTGTCTCAAAAGCATGCCGGTCTGACAATATCTCACGCTTAGCTGCCTCACCAAAGTCTTTGATCTTGTTCACATTCACTGCAAGGGAGGCAGGGGACAAGTGAGCGTGAGCGAAACCGCTTGTGCCCAGACTCCAGGAACCCACACACGGAACCGCACCGCACCTCGCTCAGTTTCGTCCAGTTCAAAGTAGAAATACTCTCTCAGCTTGCCCTCCTCAGGCCACGTCACAGTTTTCCTCTTCCTGCCCTTCCGCGTCAGCTGGCTGGGGTCTCCAGGGCTCTCCACAGGCTTTGCATCCAGAGCTCCTGGCTCTGAGGAGGCTGAAAACAAGCGGATTTCAGAAGAGGCTGTAAGCGACCTATGATCCAGCCTAAGATCCCGTCTTTCAGAAAACACCCAAACCAGGCCGAGTAGGCTACCTGCATCCATGAGCTCTGGGACTTCTACGGGTGGCACCGGGGTGCCAGGGCGGTCCGTGTCCATGGGCTCAGCAGGAGGTGCTGGCTCTGGGGAAGAAGGTTTGGCTGTGCTTGGTTCAGTGCTTGTTTTCCCTTCAAAGGGGCTGGGCTGTTATGAAAGAGAAATCATCCAATGAGTTTAGAGGATACTCAGGGGCAATGAGTCCAGGATCCTAGATGTCCAATGTCACACCAGAATACACTCCTTGTAGTCACCCACACCAGCTCCTGTGCCCTGCCTTCTACACCCCACACATCCTGTCACCGAAATGTACTTCTAGAGCTCATACCTTGGCAGCAGTCGGTGACAGAACCTTCTTCTTCTTCTTAATTTTGATGCCTGGGACAGGAGCTGAATTGAGAGCATCCAGGAAACCCAGGCCTTCCATAGCTACAGAGGAAAAGAGAACAGTGAATGAACTTCCTTCACAATCCTGTTCCAGCAGAGTCCAGGCAGAAAACAGAAGTGGGGTCCCCTGCCCACAGTGACAAGGAAGCAAGGTTCACACAGGAAGTTCCCATTAATCTTTCTTTTGGCAACCATGACTTTGATCAGTTTTAGAAAGCAAAATTCATGAAGCAAGCTGCTGGAAACACTAGAGGGTCCAGCCATGAGGGAGGGAGCTGATAAGGTTATCACTTGAGAGGCACACCTTCCCCCACCCTGTGCCAGGGCACTCCAGGAGGACTCACGCTGTGGGGGGATGATCTTCACTTTGATTTCTTTGGTGGTGTTGGGGGTTGTGTTGAGGGGCTTGTACTTCTTCTCTGCAGGTGGGGCAGCATCTCCTGGAGCTGCTGTGGCACTGCAGAAGGAGGACAGTCAACAACCTCCCCAGTCCCTTTTCTCCAAAGGCCCCCTCCACAGACACCAACCAGAGCCCATACCTCTGCCGCTTGAGGGGGATGGGCTTCAGATTGTATTTGTCTGACACCACCACAGTGCTGGAGTTCTTCTTCACAGGCACCAAAGAAGGGGTGTCCAGCTCTAGTCCTGGGGAGAAGCATGTTGATGGCAGTTCAACTTTGACCCTTACTGTCCCTCCCTGCTCCCCACCCCAGATGGTCCAGCCTTGAGTAAGTCCCCCCAGCTTTTCCTTTAGCCTTCTTGCTTCCTCACAGCTTGAAATTACAATCAAACTATTGGCTGCGCGTACTGATGCCCTGCAAAGCCTTACCAGTGGAACGGAACTTGGCGTGACTGGGTGCCGTGGTTCGCAGTGACTTGGGCTTCTCCTTCTTCTTCTCTGGGGCCTCCTCAGCCCGGGTCTCAGCCTTCACCTCAGTCAAAGGTCGCTCAGGAAGTGTAGTTCGGCTTTTCCCTTCTTCTTTCCGTTTCTTCTTATCCTTCTCTGTATGGAAAAACAAAGCAGGTGAGAATTTCATTCAATACAGAGAAGACTGCCAGAGGGACACTCGAGAGCTGCAGTCTAAATGAGAAGAGAACACGTGGGGTACAGGGCCAAGGAGCTTACCTGCAGGCTGGGTACTACTTTGAGAGCGGATGACAGCCATCCAGTCGCTGACAAGGACTGAGGCCAATTTCCGGAGCTCTGCAAGTGAAAAAGGGAAAAAAAGTACTTATTTAGTAATAATTCATTAATATTTTCAGTAGAAGAAAATATGCTTAAAAAATTGTTAAATTTGTTCAATGGGAAACAAGTCTTAATATGGCGTGCTTTAAAATAGGGAAATTAAAAAGCCTCCAAGGGACTGCTTGCTGGGGGTGGGGGGAGCGGGAGGGGGGCGGCGGCAATGAAAGACTCAACCAATAGGGAGAGGTGAAATGAGAACACACCAGCAGGCCACTCATGCTAAGCAGCAGTTTATACAGAGAAAAGGGACGCCTGGTAATCTAAGGGATAGGAGAACTTTTCTGCAGCCTTTCCTGGAGGACATGGCCATAGCAGCTCTCCTTTCACTTCTGCAATCATGCAGACTCATTTAGCAAGCAACTCTAAATAGCTAAAGGAATTAGAGTTAATAAAACCTCTATTCAGAGAGGCGTGGTGTGGCACATGCATTTAATTCCAGTAGTTGGGAGGCAGATCTTTGTGAGTTTGAGGCCAGTCTGGTCTACAGTGTTACAGCCAGGGTCACACAGAGAAACCCTGTCTTGAAAAATCAAAATCAAACCAAAGTGTGAGTTCCATGTCAGCCAGGGTTATAAAGAGAAACCCTATCTCCAAAAAAAAAAAAAAGAAAAAGAAAAAAAAAACAAAACAAAACAAAAAAGACCCCAAAGAACTACTTCTATACCCAAAGAACCACTTCTATAGAAACATTTCCTGGTAGGCACAACATTCAATGTGTAGAAATGAGTAAATTTCATTTGGAACTGAGATGAAGAGGGACTGAATTAATTGACTTAAATCTTTAAAAGAGAAACAAGTTGGGCAGTGGTGGTGCATGCTTTAATCCTGCACTTGTGAGGCAGAGGCACGAGTCTCTTGCCATAACATAAAAGAGACACTGTGGAGCCCAGATCCAGGTGGGGACAGTGGCACTCACCTTCATCCTCACTTGACTTGCTCAGCTGCTTCACGAGTTTTGCTGTGTTGTTCTATAAGAGAAGGAAGGAAATGGCAGAAAGGTAAATGCCGGGAATAAAACAAACTCACTCAAGTGCTCACTAAACTATGCCACCTCTCGACAATAGTGGCATACTTTAATCTCCAAAACCTGTAGACACTTGTTTTGCTTTTTAAGAAAGGGTCTCTCAGCCAAGCAGTGGTGACATACGCCTTTAATCCCAGCACTTGGAAGGCAGAGGCAGGTGGATCTCTGTGAGTTTGAGGCTAACCTGGTCTACAAAGTGAGTTCTAGGACAGTCAGGACTATTACATAGAGAAATCCTGTCTTGAAAACACGAAAACAAAACAAAACTACAACAACAAAACAAAAACAAAAACAAAAAAAAGGGTCTCTCTTTGTAAATCTTTGATGGCCTGGAACTCACAGAGACCCATGTGTCCCAGTCTCCCAAATTCTGAGGTTAAAGGTGTGAGCCACCATGCCAGCTACAAACATTCTTACTTAACCCTAGAAAGACGTAGTTACAATGGCCGGCAATACAACTCAGTTGGTAGAGGGCTAGACTACACCCAGTCACAAAACAACTTATTCCCACTTTAGAGATGAGAAACCGAGCCTCAGATATACAAAGGGTTCTCTCACACACCTGAGAAATAAACCCACATCGAGTCTTCCCACTTCAATTCCCACTTTCCCTTGCCATTCTACTTCATAAATTCCAAACTGCCACTCACTCATCAGAACTGAAGTGGTTTTAATCAGTTAGGCTAACCCAGAAAGGAAGCGTGGGTGATGCAGCATGGCGGTACCTGCTTGAGATGGTCCACAGTAAGTGGGAGGTGCTGCAGGGTCAGCAGAATCTGCTGTAGGAGAGGAATGTTGTTGGTCGTCTTTGAATATGTTAACCAGTTGTTCAGAAGCTTGTAGCCACCAACATCAATAAACCTGCAGGCAGGTGGAGTCAGAATCTGTTAAGTCCTTCCTAATTTTAGAACTAGTAAGCTCACATCTGGTGACCCAGAAAACCCTATGCTCCCCTCCCCCATGCCAGACCCCCAACCCCACTTACTTGACTAGCACTTCTGGGGCCCGGGTCTGCAGGATGATATTCAGGTACGTACAGCGACTCACCATCTTTCGCGCTTCCTTCATCAGACTGCAAGGAGTCACCACGTTAAATGCAGAGCAGAGCACCTGCCCTCAGCACTGCACTTTCCCAGTCAGGGTCCTGTCACACTGCCCACACCAGACTTCCCTCCTGAGTGCTGGGATGACAGGCGCAAGGAATACTATGCCAGCTCATGTCCCACAGCAGAGGACCTAATCCTGGGAGTCCTGGTGCCCCTTGATGACACTCTTTGCTCCAGAGGATGGAAGGCAGCAGTCACTGGGAGAGCATCCCTCCTGTCCCAACTCACATTTCCCCTGGGAATCTAAGACTGCCTCAGTAGTTTGCTTTTCTCTGGAAAACCTCAGATCTCTGAAGGAAAAAGACATTTTGGATAGGCACATGACCCAAAACGGAACCAAGAATTCTGTTATAGGTCCCCTGGTTGCATCCCTTAACTCTCTTGGGGTTATGAACCAAATCCCCAGCTTCTGTCATGGCCAATAGCCAAGAGATCATGTTTCTCTTGTCACAATCTGCCTGTGTGTGGCTTCTTTCTTTTCCATTTATTCTTCTCTATTACTCATTTCAACTCAGTCACAAGTAGTCTCCTCTTCTGACTAGGAACCCCAGAAAGGCAGACTTACCTGAATATCTTGGAAATTCCATCCACACTCTTCACTTCTCCATCCCGAGTAAGGAAGCTATCCAGGCCCTTGAGAAGTTCTTTGGGGTCTATGGGACCTGAACCCATGTTGGTGGTTTCTGAGGTAAAAGGAAAAAAGTCTATAGGATATATGATAGCAAAGACAGCACCAGTAACTTATCCCTCTAATAAATCCTATCGGCATATTTAAGACACAGTGACTAATCTATGTTCAACTGCACTATTCTCTAGGTCAGTAAAATCAAGTCTGTGCTCACAAAACAGCCTTGGCGACTTAAGTTGGGGTCAATACAAGGGTAATGTGAGTGAAGGACCTGGCAGCCTACCTCTTTCCCAGTTAAACCCTTTCCACAACAGTTACACTTCAGGAGAGTAGGCTAAGACCCATGATAAGATGCTCAGTTAGTTCTTCATGCTTCTAAGGTCCTGTCTCCAGTTAGCAGCTGCTAATTTTAATAAGGAGGCAGCTGTAGCTTCCTAAGGTAATCAAGCCAACCCTGGGTATCTGGGTAAACATTTTCAAGAATCAATCACCCTCTCTCCAGAAATCAATTTTCTTTTATCTTGACTGCTTAAGTCATAAGCACAAGTGGTAGAATGTGTCAGCTGAGGCGGTTGATAGAGAAAACAAGTCAGCCCTGAGCAGGGCCCTTCCCCAGGGAACTCAGCAGCGCTCAGAACAAGACTGACTGAAGAAAGCAGGCAGGCTCTCATCAGACCTGAATAATGTCACTCACTGAACAAACACCAAACGAGCTTTTATTGTTCCAAAGTTCAGGAGAAACTTGGCTTGTGATTTCAGAAGCAAAGATGCAAACCTGACCTCAAAACTCACCACTGGCCAAGACTCCCAAGAAAAGTCCAAAGCCGAGAACTGGAGACGGGGAAGGAACCATCAGAAGTAATGAAGGCGAAGTTGTGGAAAGTGGACACCACTTCAGATCAGGCTGGGAAAGGAGCGAGTTAAAAGCTACACTCCATGGAAAGGGACCGATTTTTAGGCCAGAGTTCCAGAGAGATAATTAGGGTTGATACGGCTCTGATTAGGAGTTTTAGCCACAACTCAATCACCACTAGCTTCAGAGATCCAAAACCATGAGCCTCACCACCAGGCCACTACGGGCAGGATAAAGGCTAGGGTCCCTGTGCATCTCATCACATAAGCAGCAGAGGTAGCCCTACAAGGATGAACACCAGTCTTTAACCAAAAAAACAAACAATAGGATTCTTGCAATATAAGCAGAAAAGGTGTGTGAGAAGTGTGGCTGTTTTCCTGGCTTAGACATGTTTAACCCGAGTTAAGAGGCTGTCAAAGACGAGTGGTTCTCCACATACAAGATAAAAATTTAGTGTTAAAAAGGCCCAGGGAAAGGAAGGGTGGCAGCAGTCTCTGCTTTGGAGGCTGAAGCCTGCAGGCTCAACACAGGGAGAGGAGCAGGGGAAAAATGCTAAGCATTGAACAAAACCTGCTGACTGCAACCTGAGGTCAAAGGAGAAAAACAGTCAAGAACATTTACAGGTCAGGGGACAAATTCAATGTTTACATGTCCAGAGAGAAAACCTCCCTGTCTTAAGACAGCAGTGATTTGTGCGTTTCTGGTATAGTAACAGATTTCCCATCTGTTACACTGAAAAAGCAATGAATGGGCCCAAAGTAATACATTTGAGCAATTCAGACTAGGAAACTTTGAAATCTTTATACATACATAAACCTACTAGAACCCCAAATGACAATGTATGCAGTTTGACAAGTCTTGGATTAAACATTTCATTCCAGACCTTCTGAACATGATTGACTGAAACCCAGAGCTAAAAATTACCCGCTTTGTATGTCTATCTAGGAACTAATAAGCTTAACTCAAATGTTCCTTGTTCAATCGTCAGAAAAGACAGAGGACAGCCACCTTTAGTGAAACAAAGCTGAGCTGTCTAGTGCCCTCTGATGGAAACGGGACCTAGGTATTGTAAATTCCTATCTATATAAACAAAAAGGCACAACAGTCAGGAAAGCTGGGAGACCAAAAAAAAAAAAACCAAACCAAAAAAAAAACCATGCTAATGTGCATGGTCATTCCTGCTGTTACATCTGGAAAGATGACTGAATTTGTCTCCTCACAGTAAAATGTCCATTTTCTCTGTGCCTTGTCCTCAGTACTCATTCCTTAATAGGGACCCCCAAGTGCCTTACAACCAGATCCCCATTTTCACAGGAAAGCTGTAAGGTATACCAATAGGAACAAAGGAAGAATCCATCATGCTTGGAGCAGGCCTACATGAAGCCCAAAGTGGCACTGACCAAAGCGGGCAGGGACTGTGCCCAAGCACTCCCCATGCCTGCTCTAGAGTTTTAAGCCGAGGAAACTTTCTGTAACCATAAAGAACTCAAGTCATGTTTTTGTTTTTATCCAGTTGCTATTTTCCTTGAAGGCCCACAAGGAAAGGAAGCCCGTGATGTACTTCCATCTTCTAAGCACTGGGGAACATTCTACAGTTCTTACTAGAGATATCAAATTCTGAATTTGACTTGATTATTTGGTTTAAAATGGTGGAAAAGCATCCAAATTGGTTGGTAACTAAACATCTAGCACCACTGAATCCTGAATTAGGTTCAGGAAACAAGGCCCATGCAAGCCAGTGCTTTAAATGGGTCTTCTGTCAGAGGACAAAGAAGTGCCAGTTCTTCTTTGCTGGGACCTGAGCACCCCCTAGAGCAAAATGCCTTGCTCCTTCCCTCAGTGTCTCAAGCTGCCTGATGTGACCCAATAGTAGAGTGGACTGTCTCAGGTGGTTCAGATTCTATACCTCTGTACGGTAAGGCCCTACTCCTCCCTCATCATTATTTTGAAAATCAGGTAATCCTGGTCCCAGGAAGATGACTTGGCTTTCAATAAAGATGTAAAATTATGTCTACCACACTAACACTCAGGGAAAGACCCTCAAATAGAACTCTGGCCACGCCCTAAGAATCAGGCTTCCCCTAGAGCCTTGCTTTTCATCTCCCATGCAAGGAAGGTCTTTACTAATCCCTTGCTCACTAGAGGTCAGGAGCCCCAGTGGCTGGAATGTTCAGCTCCCAGGGTAGATATGCTGCAGAGACACCTGGCAAACTGGTTAAAAAAAAAAAAAAAAAAAAAAAAGACGTGTGATAAATAGACACTTGGAAGAGGCCCTCCCATTCACTCAGAAGTCCAAGTAATAATGAGAATAATAATGAGAATCCACAGCCAGCAGGAAATGAGCCCTGCTGCAGCACCCAAGTAACCATAGGACAGGACAAAAGGCTTACAAACTCTGCCTAAAAACTCCACACTCCAATACAGGACTTAAATACAAAAATGGAAAGTTTAAGAAGAAACTATCAAGGACTTGACTTTGAAAAGTTGAGGAAAAAGAGATAAAAGAACCAGACACCCAATACCAACCCTCAAGGGTGTGGCTTTTCAACATGCACCAACTGCCACAGCACTGACCAGGGAGGAGACCAAGAGGACATTCTTTTCCTCAATGATTTAAGGGAACTTCTTTTTAGGAAGGAAGGAAAAAGAAATTCAAAAAGGTGGCTCTTTGGAAAAAAGAAAGGTTGTGAAATGTAATACCAGAAATGTTTTGCTTACCAGAAACCGTAGCTTGACTCCCCCTGCCTCGAGTTTACAACTGCAGCCTCCTTTCCTAAAGATTCACTTCTCATCCTAGTGCCAACATACGGGAACTAAGAAACTGCAGAGGTGATGGCACTGAGCACAAAGAGTTTATTCCCAAACTGAGAGGTGAGAATAAGGATGATTTATAAGAAATCCTACAACTACCAACCCTCCCCCAGACTCACAGAGCAATCACATTCCATTCGGAAGCACCAGGGCCCGTCCTGAGCCAAATGGCACATTTCAGCTCCAGTAGGCCCAATTGTCTACTCGTTACAAGCCCTGTGTCTTCCCCAGTCTCCCAAACCTAAAGCACAGTTGGAGTTTAGTTTTTCACACCTGTCAACTGAATGAAGCAAGGTGCATGTCCAAGCTTGTGATGAGTAGGTGAAAATAAAAGCAATGGGCTGATTGTTAAACACATAAACTGTAACTTCACGATTAGGACAGTCTCAATCCTGTTCTCATTAAGTTCTTATCCCTATAAGATACTCCATAAGAGATAAGAGAAACGAAAAGCGTATTCTCCCCAGCAGCAGTCTGCACAGGGAGAGAAAGCATCTGCTTGGGGGTGGAGTTTTCAGAGGAAGCAAGCTGATTACATCACCTTTCAAAGTAGCTCCTCCCCCTTGACCAAGTTTCTAGGGCAGCCCTAAGCTGACTGGCAAAAGAGAAAAACAAAGGAGAGGGACGCCATTTTGTTATGGAGAGGACGACTCAAAATTCACAAAGCCATCCAGATCTGCCGATAGCTTTACTTACACTATAAAGCACTAAATAAAAAAACAGAAGCCATACCTCCGCCCCCATCCTCAATCTGACCTACTTGAATTCAGTTTAAGAGTTTACTGAAAATAAAATCAATTAATATACAATTTTCTGCGGGTTAAGAATTTGAATTTGTAACTGAAGCTCTATTTGCTACTACCGCCGACCACCCCAATGCTCCCTATAACCGGAAAGGGGGAGGACTTGGACCCCTCAACAAATAGGGTTGAGGTGGGAGGACAGGAGAAAAATGGGTCAAGACACAACCTGCAACGCCGCTTGGAAGACAAAAGGACAAGGAAAAGTCGCCATATTTGAAGCAGGGAAGAAAAAAATTCTGTTTAACGACACAAATCTCCTAGAAAGCTAGCATTCAATTGCACTAATGGCTTTGTAAAATTATACTTCTGAGCTTTCACATTTCCCAACCTTTCCACCCTCTTAACTGTATCCACCACCACTACTAAAAAAGTATCAAGTTAAAATGTTAAATCACTTTTGCCTTTAAATAACCTATGCAATCTGAAACAATTACAAGACATTCTTTACCTCCCCAAATGTTATATTGTATGTACTTGATACTAAGACTAAAAACTATTTTGCCCTAAATTTAAGTGTCTTGCAATCTTTATTCCTAGATTGCCACCTATTTTAACCATACAATATACCCCAAGCAAATTACATTAAAATTGAGAGGATTTAACAATCACTTTAAAATAGCCAGCTAATACTTCTCTGCCCATCTCCTTACCCTGCAATCTTTATGTACAGATTGCTTATTAATCTGGCAAATTGAAAGGCGCTCTGCTTGTCTCACACACAAAGAAGTGGGACTTCTGGGCCACAAGATCCACCATCTTTTGTATGTGAGCTCATTAACCCTTTTGAAGACTGCTAACCAGAGGAAGGTAACCATTCCTCCTTATAATAGCAAAGGCTTATGCTTTGGCAGTCTGGAAATTTGTTGGATTATCAAGGGTTAACCGTCAATATCCTCACTTGCTGGCCCTCCCTTCACCCTCTCCTTGCCTGCTCCACAGCAGGGAAGAGGCAGGTGGTAGGGGAGAGAGCAAAGACTGTTTAGACCCACAGGACCTTTTTAATGGAGACTTAGAGACCCGATTGGTCCTTCTCCAGTACAATACATTTGTTCTATGGTCTCATTGCTTCCTCTCATTATTTTTGGTTTCACAACGGGAAACGTTGATTTCTTGTTGCAAGGCTGGTTTTTGAAAATTCGACACTTACTATCCAATTTTTTTGCGACGTCAGCACCACGGGCTCAGGGGGGGAGGGGTAAAATTTTGGAGGAAAAAAAACAAAACAACCAACCAGGACCCAAACTCAATTACTTGGGGGGCCTCATTGGATCAAAAAGTCTCTTAAAAAAGTAAACACCAACTCAGTATTCACATTCCCCCCACCCAACTCCATTTAGGGAGGGGGGGTCGTTGAAAAAAATCCTGAGTGGATTCCAAAAAGGAAATGCTGGATGAGTGAGATTGGGTGGGTTTGGGCGGGGAGGGTGGTTATTTTTTGCAGTTATGTGGTGACGGTCCTTCGGCCACAGATCTCAAGTCCCAAGCAGCGTGGGCTGGTGGGGTGGGCAAATAGGTGGGAAAGGGTAGAAGACACAAGTGGTTGGGCTGGTGGCTGCTCTTTTCCCTTTCCCCCCTCTCTCAGGATCCTTTCATGGGATTAAGATGTTGCGGAGGCTTGTTTGTTTTCCTGATGGCCGGCCTGTCTTTCTCCGAGAAAATTCAACCTGGGGTAAAAAAAGAACACAAAAGGAGAAAGATGTAATCAGTACGGGTCGCCATAAAACATTCCCACGTGCCATTTCTCGTCACCCCAGAATGCAGCGGCACTCGGCAGAGCGAGGCTACCGAATAAAACCATCCCCTCTCCGCATCCCTGGGCCGCCCGTTCTCGGAAAAAAAAAAGTTACCGTCCAAGCGACGGAGCACCCAAACTTACCTCTAAACGAACCCCAGAATGGCGGCCGCCCGCTCGGGCGGAGTCTTTTATACCCGGCCGCCGCCCAACGCACCCTAACGTGATGGAGAAACGCCCTCGGCGCGAGGCATCGAGCGCGAGGCGGAGGCTGATTGGCCAACGCGAGGGTCAGGCCGCCAGCCGATTGGACACCGCCCCTCCCACTTCGGGAAGCCCCAGTCCTCGTGTCCCCCCCACCCTTCCGTCTCCTTCCGTGCCCTCCGCGCCAGCGCGTGACCGCCGCGTCCGGCGCCTCCTCCTTTCCCGCCTCCATCACTTCCGCCCAGGCAGACGAGCCTCACCCCGGGTTGGTCGGCGCGACCCGGCGCGTGCGCACTGAGAGCGGCCCGGCCCAAATCGCCCTCGAAACTCCTTCTGGGTCATACGCTAGGCATGGCATCTATGAGTCACCGTGACCGGTCCGGGGGAAAAGCAATTTCGACGGCTGCTTCGATTGTGACGCAGCTAAAATTCGCGTGGCTCTTCTGCCGGCTCCGCCCTCCGACGCTACCGTCCTAACGCACGTGAGCATCCGCCTTCCGCATTGCGAGCCTCGGCCTCGGCCCCGCCCTAACCAGCGCCCCGCACATGCGCAGTCGCTCCTCCTTCGGGCCGTTCGTGCGTCGGTCGTGCGTCAAGATGGCTGCCTCCGTGCGGCGCACGCTGCTGAGGCTGTTGCCCAGCCTCTTGCGAAGTTCCTACGGCGTGCAGGTAACCCCTCGGAGGGCTTTCTCCGCTTCCCCACGCTGTCTGCGCGTTCCCGCCCTTGCCCCGCAGCGAGGACTCAAGGCGCCCAGCTCTTCCCATCTGTTTACGTCTCGATCCTGCACCACCCTCTGTCCCCCGCGGCGCGCGTTTTCTAGTACTGAGTCTTAGGGAAAGAGCCAGGTTTACGTGTCGCCTTCCCTAAGTACTAGACGAAGAATGAGGTGATTGGATTGATCCTGCACATGCACAGCTAATTTCTAACTTTGTCGTTGTAAGTGTCCTTGTATCAAAGGATCCTAATTTTAATTCCCCCCGCCCCCCCCCCCCGTGTTCCGGAAACTGTCTCACTCTGCCCTGGTGGACTGATTGACCTCTTAAGTGACCTTGAACTCTCCTGCTCTTTGCGCCTCCTCTTCCCAGGTATTAAAGGCGTGATCTACGACTCTCTACCCCACCTCCTAACACGTCGTTTTCTTAAAAGAGCATGCTGGAGCGTTTAATCTGCTCCCTGGATTGAAGTTGCCCTCTAGGCTGAGGTACTCACCACCCTGGAGGTTCCTGCAGGGCAGGGAGAAATAGCTTGAAGGCTTGTCGCGACGACACTCCCTAAAGTGGGACTAAAGAGTGGTGACAGAGGTCACAACCGAAGTAATAACAGGCTTGGTAGCGTTGAAGCTGGCGTTAGCACTCAGATTTTGGTTTGCCCTGTGGAATGCTGACCTGCAGCATTTTATAAAACTGGGCAACTCAGTGTCTTTGACTTTTTCTCCCTTGTCTGATGCGTCCCCTGCGCTCCATAAATCTTATTTCCAAAAGGTTAGCAATCTTTTCTCTTTTTGCCAGATCCAGCTAATGCCCATCAAGCACAGATCTTTGTTTACTGTCTCCCTAACACAGTAATTATTCCTTTGTCTGGTTGACTTGTCAGTTTAACACCAGAAGAAATGCTACTCCCATTGTCTCTTTCTGCTGAATTATTCTGATGTTTTGGACACATGTCCCTTCTCCCCAAAGAATAATAAACCAAATAGTTATATCCTTTTCTAGAAACTCACCCTCTCATTTGACTCCCTTTATAGGTTCCCCTCCGGGCACTTTGCACTAAAGATCCTCCTGAAGAAGGTTCTCCATCCTCACTTCCCGTGTCCCCTTATGAGAATGAGCCTTGGAAATACCTGGAATCGGAAGGTACCCCAGATTGGGGGAAGTGAGAAAAAGTGGGGCCTGAAGTAACTGGCTAGGGAAGATCCCTACCACTTGCATGAATGAATAAACTCATGTGGTCTCTATTTCAGAATACCAGGACCGCTATGGTTCTCGACCTGTGTGGGCCGACTACCGCCGCAACCACAAAGGTGGTATACCGCCACAGCGGACCCGAAAGACATGCATTGTAAGATTTTAAGGTTTTCATTGTGGTGGGATGTGACGAGGAGACTATAGGGTGGGTGACATCGGTCCTTTCTGTGACTATGTTTTGTGTCTTTAACTACCAGTTTCTTTTCTACAGCGTAAAAATAAAGTTGCTGGGAACCCTTGCCCCATCTGCCGTGATCACAAGTTGCATGTTGACTTTAGGGTAAGCAGAATCTTTTATCCAGAATTAAGACTTGGATCCTCTCTGCAGTGCTAAAGAAATAATCAGGATGTGTTTCCCACGCTTTTGTACCTGTATGTATACAGTCCCAGCAACTGCCGCTGTGGAAACATCCTGCTTTATGGGCTTTCACCCCCTACTGTGGATTTCTTTACAAGGGTTTAGTTCACTCTCTTAAAATTCATAATCTAAATTCCAAGTAAGAAAAACACATTTGCCAGTAGATGGTGGCGCACTCCTTCAATCCTAGCACAGATGTAGGCAGAAGTAGGCAGATCTCTTTGAGTTCGAGGTCAGCCTGGTTTACAGAACTAGTTCCAGGACAGGCTCCACAGCTACAGAGAAACCCTGTCTCAAAACAAAAAATAAACAAAAAACCACATTTGATCTGTACTCAGTAATGCAGGCTTTTAATCCTAGCACTATGGAGGCAGAGGCAAACAGATTTCTGAGTTTGAGAACAGCCTGGGCTACATAGAGAACAAACAAAAAACACGTATTTGAAAGCAGACTTGGTTAGTATATGTCTGTGATCTCACACTGCAAGACTGAAGCAGAAGTGTGAGTTCCAAGTTCAGGCCCTGTCATTCCCTACCCCACCAGTTACAAAAGTGACTTTTCCTAAGGATGAGACAGGGTCTGAGTATCCCAAGTGGCCTCGGACTTGCTAACTTTGTAGCTTTTTTTTTTTAAGATTTTATTTAATTTTATGTATCTTGGTGTTTTTCCCACATCCATATCTGCATGGAGATGTCAGATTTCTTGGAACTCTAGTTACAGACAGTTGTGAGCTGCCATGTGGGTGCTGGGATTTGAACCCGAGTCCTCTGGAAGAGCAGTCAGTGCTCTTAATCACCGAGGCATCTCCAGCCCCGCAGGTAAACTTCTGGTCCTCCTGCCTTCCTAAGGGCTGTGGGTTACGGGTGGGGTGTGTGCTGCTGTGTGATGGCGCCACACCTAGCTCAGAGGTCAACTTGTTATTTCTAGGGAAAGAACTTACTTGGAAAAAAAAAACTTCCAAAGACAGGAGGGGTTTAAGGGAAAGAGCCCTATCTATCTACCTACTACACTATTAACAGATATATTGCCCTCTTTGGGGGTGGAAGGGGTGAGGAACGTTCCTCCATTTTCCTCTTTTGAGAAAGGGTTTGTTTATATAGTCCAAGCTGACCTCAACTCACTGTCCTGCCTCAGCAGGCTGCGTTCTCGGGTTGTCTCCTTGCTTAGTTGTTGTTTGCTTGGCCTCCTGTGTTCAATGAGATGCTGGGGCCTGGACCTAGAGCACAGGTAAGAAAGGAGCTATGGCGTAGAGTAGATTTCCTCTCCCCTCCCCACTTCAAAAGGATGAGGCTTGGTTTTTTGATTTGTTTGTTTGGTTGGTTTGGTTTTTCGAGACAGGGTTTCTCTGTAGCTTTGGGGCTTTTCTTAGAACTCTATATGCTAGACCAGACTGGCCTTGAACTCACAAAGATCTGCCTGCCTCTGCCTCCTGAGTGCTGGGATTAAAGGCGTGCACCACCTCTGCCCTGTTTTGTTTTTCAAGACAGGCTTTCTCTGCATAACTCTGGAGACTGTCCTGGAACTCACTCTAGACCAGGTTGGCCTCAAACTCAGAGATCCGCTTGCCTCTGCCTCCTGAGTACTGGGATTGTAAAGTCATGTGCCACCGTCATGCAGGTGCTCATGGGAGCCAAAACAATGACTGCATTGAGGATGCTGGGGATCCTGGGTGTGTTTCTGTTGATGAGGTTCATGTCCTTCCAGAGCGTCACAGAGGATGCTTCCAAGTCTCTTGTATGCAGGAGGTTAGGAAAAGAAGGCAGTGATTAGGCTGGGCATGCTGGTAGGTGTATCTGCTTCTTCTCTGCTCACCTCCTGTGATTGGTTTGCCTGGTTTTATGCAGTTCAAATTATTAAATTGCTCCTAGCTACATACTGTATTTTATGCACTATATTCAGCATGCTATTGTATTGCTTACTTATTACATATCCGCCTTGTTGTTGTTTCTGGGTAATTTCTAGGACCTTGATGACTAGCCCCAGTTTTTTACCCAAAGGTATACATTTTGGAGCATGCTTTCTCCATACCTGAGTGTCAGAATGTTGGCTTTTATGTTAAATGAATTGGTGAGGCTAAAACTGAAGGAAGCATCGAGACACACAGAGTCGTGAGGGGAGCTATGGGGCTGGCCTCAAACTCACGGAGAGCCACTTTGCTTCTGCCTCCTAAGTGCTGGGATGTAGCCCAGGCTGGCCTGAAACTCATGACCTTTCTGTGTTTGCCTTTCCATCACGTTCCGCTGGGGTTTGCTAGCACAGCGACTGTAGGTGTGTAAGGTGTCTGCATGCAGCCTCCAGACCACCTCTTCACGTGTCTGTTTGTCTCTCCCCTGCAGAATGTGAAACTCTTGGAACAGTTCGTTTGCGCCCACACGGGTATCATCTTTCACGCCCCATATACAGGTTAGCTTGGCACTCCTGTCAATACCACTATGGTTTTTCCTTGGGGGCACTCCTGTTTATATTGTTGGGTGGTAAGTGTGTGGTAGGTGTATATGTAGCACACAGAAGTGTGGTTGCAGCTTTTGGAGATTGTATTAATGAGGATACTCATTAGGCTAGAATAGTTGTGTGCTTAGAAGACTAAGGTGAGCCTCTCTGTAAGCCACTGTCAAAATGAGCTTTGAGAAGTAAACCACGCCTTTAGTCCCAGCACTGGGAAGGTGGAGGCAGCCTGATCCCTGTGAGTTTGAGGTCAGCCTGATTTACTTAGTGTGTGTTCCAAGACAGCCAGACAGAAAACAGGTAACCCAGAAGGAACAAGGAAAACATCTGAGCTCCTCGTCTATCTTTGCAGGCAGCTACAGATGAGGCCGATGGGAAACTGGCTGTGAGGGAAGGTCAGGGGTCATTCGGTAAAGCCAGTTCCTCCACAGTCAGCTCGCCGTCTCTGTATAGAAGACTTTTGCTAACTCTGCTTTGTGGAATGGGCTCCAAGTTAAGTTTTCTGTCTCTAGGGGTCTGTATGAAGCAGCACAAGAAGCTGACCCAGGCCATCCAGAAAGCCAGGGAGTGTGGTAAGTGAGAGCAAGGCGGGAAAGGTCTTCTTAGGTGTAGCAGAGTGACGTGGGCTGGAAGGCGCTTATGTGCTCCCCTGACTCCTGGAGTTTCTTCTGAATTGGGTGTGGTGCTGGAGCCCGGAGTCCCAGCTGCAGATTTCTGGCTCCTAGGACCTGCTACATGTAACATGGAGGAAACAGTATTTCCTAGGACCTGCTACATGTAACACGGAGGAAACAGTATTTCCTAGGACTTGCTACATGTAACACGGAGGAAGCAGTGTCCTAGAACCTGCTACATGAACGCAGAGGAAGCAGTGTTCCTAGGACTGACTACATGTAACACGGAAGAAGCAGTGTTTCCTAGGACCTGCTACATGTAACACGGAGGAAGCAATGTCGCTCTACACTGAATCCTGACAGTCTTGAGTTCTTTGTTCCCAATTCTGTAGTATTCTTACCTGGCTGACACATAGCACCTTTGCACAGATGAGTGAGCAGTACCCTTCAGCAGCATATACAGAGACTGAACATAGCTTTGCAGGGGAGCGTGGGCAGCGCCCCACCTATTCTTTGTCTCCTTGGCTGGTTGTGCAGTGCGGGGCCTGAAATGTGCCTGGTGCTTTCAGTTGGTCCCTCCATCCTGGTGCCTTTTTCTTGTCCCTGGATCTGAATTCCCTTTCCTCATCCTCCCTTATTTCCTTTAATTCCTTAGGTCTCCTCAGTTACTACATTCCCCAGGTTGAGCCCCGAGATGTTGACTTCCAAACTGTTCATGGAGCTGTCAGTGTTACTCCGCCAGCCCCCACATTGTTGTCGGGCGAGCCTTGGTACCCGTGGTACAGCTGGCAACAGCCACCAGAGAGGGAACTGTCCCGCCTTCGCCGGCTGTATCAAGGAAATCTCCTAGAAGAAAGTGGCCCCCCACCTGAGTCGATGCCGCAGGTGCCCGCTACACCAGCAGCAGAAATCTCCGCCGAGCAGACGGGCTCCCAGAGTGCTTAGGGCTTGTGGACCGGGAGGCATAGAGTCTGGGTTCTGTGATGGCATGTGTTCTGAGACCCTAAGAAAGTGACTGATGCAGAGGACAAACACATGGGAAACTGGAGAGGGCTTCTGATATGAACAGAACCTGGACTGGTGTGTGCACTTGAAAGTCTGTCCCTATTTTAAACCTGCTGGCCCAGCATTTCTACAATAAAGCTTTCTCTTCTGTCCCTGACTTCCGTTGGGCTGACTTTTCAGAGCATGGGGGTGAAGTGTATGAGGTGGGGTGCTGGCTGCTGTGGGGTGGGAGTGTGTGTGTTCGGCCAAACTCACCCTGCCTGCAACTCCAGCAAGGAAAGGGTGCCTGAAGACGATCCTGTCTTGTGGGTTCCCTTGCTGTTCTCCGAGGTCCAGTCCCAGTGAAATATGCTTGGTTGCCCTGGCTTCTACAGGGGCACCGGCCGGCAAGAGGAGTCCTGTTGCTAGGAGACCACCAGTTTGGCCAGACAAATGGGGTCTCCTAGGCTGCTGGACCCCGCTGTTGGGGCGGGGCGATTCTTGGAGGCGGGTCCTGGAAATAAAGACAGGGTGTGCGCTCCTGGTAGCGGAAGTGACGTTGTGTGGGGCGTGTCCGGCCCCGCACAATGGGCCATGGAGTTCCCGTTCGATGTGGATGCGCTGTTCCCGGAGCGGATCACCGTGCTGGACCAGCACCTGCGGCCTCCGGCCCGCCGACCCGGAACCACAACGCCGGCCCGGTGACATTTCAAACCCGCCCCGTGGCCCTTCTGTCCCGGTTCCTCTCCAAACCTGGTCAAGGCACCACGCCCCCTTCTCACTGTCTGCTGGCCATTCTTTCTGCATCCACAGCCTTGTTTTTGGTGACCTTTGACCCTGAACCTTGCTGGATTAATCGGCCAGCATACGTAGCCTTTCACCCCTTGGCCCCATGTGGCCTCGCCTTGAGGCTATGGGCGACCCACATACTGTCCCACAGTAATCCTGACATGGGATCTGGACGGGAGGTGGGAGGGGAGGTCGAGTTCCAGGCAAAGTCAGAGACCCCATGGAGGAGCCCGGGTGAGAGTCAGGCAGGCTGGCAGGAGTGACTCCTCAGGTCCTGTGACCCAGGCGCATAGCTGACCGGCCCCCTCTCTCTCTAGTGTGGATCTGCAGCAGCAAATCATGACTATTATAGACGAACTGGGCAAGGCGTCTGCCAAGGTACGGGGCACCTCCAGGAGGAGTAGAGAACTGGGTGGCAGATAAGGGGCCGGTAGAAAGTGTGTCTTCATGTCTGCAGGCCCAGCATCTCCCTGCACCCATCACCAGCGCTTCCAGGATGCAGAGTAACCGCCATGTTGTCTATATCCTAAAGGATATTTCAGCCCGACCGTGAGTTCTAGTGTTCGTCCACCTGAATCAACCCTTATCCTTTGCTGTCCTCCTTTCTTTACTATCTGTCCCAGACAGTTGCTGCTGCCCGGTTCATTCTTCTCCCCATCCCACAGGGCAGGGAAAGGAGCCATCATTGGTTTCCTCAAAGTTGGATACAAGAAACTCTTTGTACTGGTAAGTGTTGCGCAAACTGGGCATTTGTAAGCTTTGGTGCCAGGGAAGAAATGTGGAGGAGGGTGGGGTGGGGTGGGGTGGGTAACAAAGATGCCTGGCTCCTAAGAAGATACGTTATTCTCGGCGCCATAGGATGACCGTGAAGCGCACAACGAGGTGGAACCGCTTTGCATTCTGGACTTTTACATCCACGAGTCAGTGCAACGGCACGGCCACGGGCGAGAGCTGTTTCAGCACATGTTACAGGTACCAGCCAGCCTTATAGATGTGAGAGGCTCCCACAGGCCCTGCTGCCTGCCCCACAGTGGCCCATTTCCCTCATGTTCCCTTGCCAGGCTCCCAGTTTCCTGCTAGCATGCTTCCCCCTCAACCCCCCTGCCCCCAAGTCTCTGGTTTCCTGCAGAAAGAGCGAGTTGAACCACACCAGCTGGCCATTGATCGACCGTCACCAAAGCTGCTGAAGTTCCTCAACAAGCACTACAACCTGGAAACCACAGTCCCACAGGTTAGAGGCTCCGCACAGAGGCAGCACCTCATCTCGCTGAGTAACCTTTGGGGTGCTGGGGAGCAAAGCTAGGCCCTTGGGCGGGCTGTACTTGTGCTCTGCCGCTGAACTGCATCTCTGCTTCCCTTTTTAAAAGATTTACGTTTTTTTGTTGTTGTTGTTTTTTTGGTTTTTTTTTTTCCTTGAGACAGAGTTCCTCTGTAGCTTTGGAGCCTGTCCTAAAACTCTCTATGTACACAAGGCTGGCCTTAAACTCACAGAGACCCGCCTGCCACTGCCTACTGAGTATTGGGATTAAAGGTGTGCACCACCACCTCCCGGCTCCGTTTTCTTTTCTTTTTTTTAAAGATTTATTTATTTATTATGTGTACAATATTCTCAGTATTCTGCCTGCAGGCCAGAAGAGGGCACCAGACCTCATTACAGATGGTTGTGAGCCACCATGTGGTTGCTGGACTCAGGACACCCCCCCACCAAGAGCGCAGTGATGCTCTTAACCACTAAGCCATCTCTCTAGCCCTCCATCTTATTTTCTTACTCTGCATTCCTGTTCATGTGTAAAGATGAAAGACATATGAGAATCAGTTTGCACCTTCTGCCGCGTGGGTTCTGAGACTTGAACTTGAGACATCTGGCCAGTCCTACCTTGGATGTTTTGTTAGGCTTACTTTATTGTATGTGTTTGAATGTTTTACCCGCATGTATGCATGTGCATCATGTCCGTACCTGTGCACACAGAGGTCGGGAGAGATCAGAACCATTGGAACTAGAGTTACAGCTGGGTGTGAGCCACCACGTGCTGGGGACTGAACCTTAGTCCTCTGCGAGAGCAACAAGCACCAAAAAACGGCCGAGCCAGCTCTCCAGACGCTGACTTTTGTTGTTTCATGTAAGATCTCACTGGGTCACTCACAGAGATCCACCTACTTCTGTCTCCAGAGTGCTGGGATTAAAGGGGTGTACCACCACCTCAGCTAATTTTTTTTTGAGAACTTCATACGTAGACTCTGTATCTATAGCTCTGCTACCCCTTCAACTTCTCCCGTGTTCCCACATTATCTCCTCTTTATTGTTGTTACATGTACATGTGTGTGTACATACACACACACACACACACACACAATCTACTAAAGTCCTTTAGCGTTGTTTATATTTACTTGTGTCCAGGGTGCCACTGTTTTTTGGAACAGGATCTCACTGTGTAGCTAAGGCTGGCCTTGAACTTGGGGTCACTCTCTGTCTCTGTCTCTACCTCCTGAGTTATGAGATAACAGGTACACCTTGGTGCCCAGATGTTTTGTTTCTGAAAGAGATTTGCTGCATAACCCCTCAAACTGATGATCCTCCTGCCTCAGCCTCCCGAGAGTTAGGATTATGTCACACGGTCCAGTGTGACTTATTTTTACAGTTAAATCTTTTCTTCTCACACTGTCACATGTTCTGGAAACATTCATTCTGTTGTTTTTTTTTTTTAAGAATTTTTTTTAAAGATTTATTTATTCATTATGTATAGTGTTCTGCAGGCCAGAAGAGGACACCGCACAAGATGTTACTACAGATGGTTGTGAGCCACCATGTGGTTGCTAGGAATTGAACTCAGGACCTCAGGAACAGCAGGCAATGCTCTTAACGGTTGAGCCATCTCTCCAGCCCCATCCCGTCTTCTTGTCTTTTTTCTTTTTCTCTCTTTTTTTTTTGTTTGTTTGTTTGTTTGTTTGAGATGGGGGTCTCACCATATAGCTCTGACTGCCCTAGAACTCATTGTGTAGAGCAGGCTGACTTCAAATTCACAGAGATCCGCCCGTGTCGGCTCAGAATTCTGGATTAAAGGGGTGCCACATGCACAGCTGGTTGTTGTTCCGGCAGACTTGTTTTGGGGAGCGTCTCATTATGTAGTACCAGTGGGCTGGAACTCAGAAATCCACCTACCTCTGCCTCCACTACAGCCAGCCTCAGGGAACTTTTGCTGGTCTGTTTTCAGACAGGTAGTTGTTCTGCAACTCAGCTGACCTAAGACTCCCAGTGTAGCCCAGGATGTAGCCAGTAATTCTCCTACCTCAAACTCCTAACTGCTGGATTACCATACTTGTGGGAATTCATCCAGCCAATTGCACTTACCCACGTTTTTATGTACTCACTGGTTATTTTTATTCTTTTTTAAAGACTATCCATTCCTTATTTATACCTGTGTGTATGTGAGTACCTGCATGGGAATACGTGCACGGTGAGTGGGGACCACTGAGGCCAGAGTGCTGAGAACCTAACGTCAGGGTTCTTACTCTCTGAGCCACCTCATGGCCTGTTATCCTTGATCAGGGCTCCCTCCCTCCCTCCCTTCTTTTCTGTTGTTGCTTTTTTGAGACAGGGTCTCTCTATGTAGCTTTGACAGTCCTGGAGCTACCTAGGTAAATCAGGCTGGGTTTGAACCATAGAGGTCCTCCTGCCTCTGCTTCCAGAGTTCTCCACCGCACCTGGACATGTTGTTTACTTCATTTTTGTCCCCAGACTGAAGCAGCTTGTGTCCGCCTTGTTCTCACACAGAGCATTTCTCATTTAGTCAGCATTTATGGACAACCCAGAATACAGATATCTGAGCTCCGTGGGGAGCTTGGTTTATCATGGGAGTGACTGTGAGTTAGAGACGTGTGACTAACGCACTGTGTGCGCCACTGCTGTGGGCACTAGGAATCCTTAACCATCAAAAGAACCTGCTTTCTAAAGGTGGAGCCAGACAAGCATAACATATTCTAGGGCCAGGTAAGGTGGCGCACGCCTTTAATCCCAGCACTCTGGAGGCAGGGCCAGGCGGATCTCTGTGAGTCTGGTGCCAGCCTGGTCTACAGAGTGAGTTTTAGGACTTCCTTGAAAGTCTTCTTTACTGTAGGTAAGGGTAAGTGTCCTGATAAAATGACACCAGTGTTGGTGCGGGTGGGACTTCACAGGTGAGATACGGGAGAACGCTGTCACTGAGAGGCTTCTTCATTTGTGCAATGGCATGAAGAAAGTGTGTGAGGCCCAGTGTCCCAGAGAGGTAGTGGTCAGTACTAAGGCTATGCAGTGAGAACATGCCCAGGTCAGTGCGGCATGGCTATGCAGTGAGAACATGCCCAGGTCAGTGCAGTAAGGCTGTGCGGTGAGAACATGCCCAGGTCAGTGCAGTAAGGCTGTGCGGTGAGAACATGCCCAGGTCAGTGCCATGAAAGGAATGCAGAAGATGAGGGCAAAGGTGAAAAAAGGGGGCACGCTTGGGGCCACACAGGTCACTGTAAAGGCTTTGGTTTCTACTGAGTGAAAAGCAAAATTAGCAGGGTGGTGATGCATGCCTTTAGTCTCAGCACTCGGGTGGCAGAGGCAGACAGATCTCCGTGAGTTCGAGGCCAGCCTGGTCTATAGAGCAAGTTCCAGAACAGGCCAGAGCTATACAGAGAAACCCTGTCTCGGGGTTGGGGGGGAGGAACGGTGGAAAAGGCACATTCTTCATAAAGGCACTTTATGCTGTTTCTGCGGGCAAGTGGAGTGGCTAGCTTGTACATCAACAGATGCATGTCTGTATGTGCGCGGTGTGCATACAGTGTCTGAAGAACTGGGAATAGGGCATTGCATCCCCTGGAACACAGATGGTTGTGAGCCGCCATGTGGATGCTGGGAATGGAAAGAGCTCAACAGACCAGTATCTCCTCTGCCCCTTCATTTTCTGGCTATGATCATAATTCTTGGGGATGTTCATTTTTCCAAGAACCATTTGTTAAGGAAACTTTTGTTTATTCCCTGTTGAATGAGTGATCTTGGCATCTTTGTTGAAAATCATGTGACCATGGACACGTTAGTTTGTTTCTGCACCTTTGAGTCTATTCTGTTGATTGACAGCTGTCCTGTGCTACTTGTTGCTGCTGCTTCTGCTTCTGCTTCTGCTTCTTCTTCTCCTTCTCCTCCTCCTCCTCCTTCTTTTCTTCTTCTTCTCAAAGACAGGGTTTCTCAGTACCTATGGAGCCAGTCCTGGAACTCTGTAAACCAGGTTGGCCTCTAACTCACAGAGATCTTCCTGCCTCTGCCTCTTGAGTGCTGGGATTAAAGGTGTGCACCACCACCACCCAGCCTGTTTTGCTTTTTTGAGACAAGTTTTCTCTGTAACAGCCCTAGCTGTCCTAGAACTTGATCTGTACCCAAGGCTAGCCTTGGAATCACAGAGATCTGCCTGCCTCTACCTACTGAGTGCTGGGATTAAAGGCATGCACCACCATGCCTGGCTGTTTTTTTTTTCTTTAAAAAATATTTAAAATAGATATGTTTTTGTCTGTTTTTTGACACAGGGTTTCTCTGTGTATTCCTGGCTGTCCTGGAACTCACTCTGTAGACCAGGCTAGCCTCAAACTCAAGAGATCTGCTTGCCTCAGCCTCCCAAGTACTGGCATTAAAACCATGTGATGCCACTGCCTGGCTAGATTTATTTTATTATGTGTATGAATATCTTGCCTGCATGACTATATGTACAGTACAGGTGTGCCTGGTACCCATGGAGGAAGTCAGAAATAGCATTGGATTGGCTAGGACTGGAGTTAGAGATGGTTGTGAGCCGCCATAGTGGGTGCTAGGAAATAAACCAGTCTTCTGCAAGAGCAGCAAGTACCCTTAACCGCTTGGGGCGTGTCTCATGTAGCCCAGGCTGGCCTCCAGCTCTCTGTGTAGCTGAGGCTAACCTTGAACTTGGTCTTCCTACTTTCTTCTTCCAAGGGCTAGGATAGCAGACATGTGCCACAGTACCTAGTGTATGTGGCTGAAGCTTGACGCCACGGCCCCATGGTGGGCAAGCACGTACCCCTGTGGCCGTCCTGACTCACTGTGTGCTGAGGCTGAGTGGACAGCGAGCTTTGTTTGCTTTGTCTTCCAGGTGAACAACTTCGTGATCTTTGAAGGCTTCTTCGCTCACCAGCATCGTAAGTCTCCTTACCTTGCGTTGGTCTAGAAGGTGGGGAGAGGGAAAGGAAAGAGGTGGGCTCTTGGTCCCACTGGCCCCCCACTGAGGGCCACCCCCTCTTCCTTCCTCACAGGGCCCCCCACTGCCTCTCTGAGGGCAACTCGACACTCTCGTGCTGCCGAGGTCGATGCCACGCCCACTGGTAAAGCCTGCGTGGACTGGGTGGGATTAAAGAGCAGTGAAGTCTAGTTTCTCAAGAGTTCCATCGCGTGGTACCATCTGCTGCAATTAGAATACCCTAAAGCCACCCGTGTACCCAGCAGTCCCCTCTGCCTGAGCCCTGCTGGGAGCTCGTGCATTTTGTAACTGGAAGGAACTCAGGCCCCGCTAATGCTGAAGCACATGCACTAATTACACTGCTCTCAGCGAGGCGCACCCCAGCCCCGTCCTCGGCGACGGTTCTCAGGAAGCGAGCCCCTTCAGACCTTGGCTGACCACTGATGCCAGCATAGCCTCTTTCCTAGGACAGCTCCCTCAAAACAGGCCAAAATCAAATTACTTTGTAAATGTTTCAGGCTCAGTCATCAGGGAGGGACAGGTGAGTGAGCCCAACAGTTCTTTGATTTCTGTTCATGGCATTGTGATGTGAACGGTCCAAAGATTAAATATGTGTTTTAGAAGAGAATGCTCAAAATTTATAACATTTTTACCTGGCATGATGTCACACGCCTTTTATCCCAGTACTCAGGAGGAAGAGGCAGGCAGATCTCTGTGAGTTCAAGGCCAGTCTGGTCTACAGAGTTCCAGGATAGCCAGAGATACACAGAGAAACCTGTCTCTAGATAAATAAATAAGTAAAAATCAAGCCCGTTTGGCATGAAACTCACTGGCTGCATCCTGCCTCCCCTGCTCCCTCTGAAGTACATCCTCAGGGAGAGGGCACAGCCCTCACCAGTGGTGTGGTGCTGCATGGCCCAGACAGAATGGCCTCCTTCCTGGGATAGCCTTGTGGCTAGTTACCTTTCCATTGGCCTAGAAAGGGAGTAACAGTGGCCTAAAGAACAGCTCATTGCTCCTTGTTAGTGTCAGCCCAGGCTCCCAGAGGCTCATCATGACCACGACCCACCGTGGTTTGGGAGGCTACTGTCCAGCAGGCAGTAATGTTGAGCTTCCATCTGGGATGGGTGCAGATCCACAGAGGACTGCTTGGGTTCTCCATCCTTGTTTATAACGCAGAACCTAAGAAAGGGAGGTAACCCACCCTTGCCATATAGTAAATCCCACTTGCTGAAGCCATTTTGTAGATGCCCGCATTTTTTTCCTCTTCTTTTTGGGAACAAAGGGATTGAGATAGGATCTCTCTGTGTAGCTCTGACTGTTCTGGAACACTATGGACACTATGGAACTGGTCACTATGTAGACCAGGGTGGCTTAGGACTCACAGAGATCTGCCTGCCTCTTCCTCCTGAGTGCTGGGATTACAGGTGTGTTCTTTGAGCCAGGGCCTCAATACTGGAACTCACCATGTCTGTCAGGCCTGCCTCTGCCTTACTAAAGGCACAGCCGCCACATTCTTTTATTACCGTTTTAAAACCCAATAAACCTTAGTCTCCGTATCTTTTATGTACAGGAAGGAGAGGTTCTGCACCTCCTCTCCCCACTTCCCAAGAACAATTCCCAATTAACCAAGGGCTTTGTCCATCTCATCTAGAGGGACCCAGGGTCCTCACTGGCCCAGCTGGGACTATTCCACTGCCCCAGAACCCCAGGGGGGCCTGACAACACCCACGGACAGTAAGAGCTCACCTCCTCTTGGCCATCCTCTCCTGTGTTTCCCAGGCCCCAGCCTCCCCTGGATCTTTCTCCTGAAACTCCGTGTTTGGCCTACTCCTTCTGGCTCCCCCGAAAGTGCTCCAGCATTCCTCCCCGACTCCCTCTGGTGTGCTGGCTTTGCCACAGCACGGCTTCTGTTCTGGCTTTCCCAGGAGGAGCTGTGGTGTCAGGGAGCCGAAGTTTGGGATCTTGGGGAAGCGGCAGGGAGGAGGTGTGGAACGTGCATCTCCTAATACTTCCTTGTGTCCCTATTGCCACCAGCTCCAGCGCGGAAGCTGCCACCCAAAAGGGCAGAGGGAGACATTAAGCCATATTCCTCCAGTGACAGAGAATGTAAGGGGGTTGGGGAGAAGAGTGGGGGGGGGTCAAGGGAGGCGAGCTGGGAGTGGCGAAGGGGAGGTAGCTGGGGACAGTAATAAACGGCCACAGCGACCTCTCCTGCCTGATCTTGATTATTGTGACTCTCCTCTTTCTTCTCTCTCCTACCCTCTTTGTTTCTCCTCTCCCCAGTCCTAAAGGTGGCTGTGGAGCCTCCTTGGCCCCTGAACAGGGCTCCTCGCCGGGCCACACCGCCAGCTCACCCACCTCCACGCTCTAGCAGCCTGGGAAACTCGCCGGATCGGGGTCCCCTCCGACCCTTTGTGCCAGAGCAGGAGCTACTTCGCTCCCTGCGTCTCTGCCCCCCACACCCTACTGCCCGCCTTCTGCTGGCCTCTGACCCTGGGGGCAGCCCAGCTCAGCGCAGACGCACCAGGTAAGAGGGCCTGCAAGTTTGGGAGCCTCAGGATATCTAAAAGTCAGGAGCGGTGAAGGATAAGGTGACACCCCCCCCCCCTCCCCGGGATGTGAAACAGTGCAATCTTTACCAGAAACACAAATTTCTGCAAGACTGGTCTGCCGGGCTTTATGCAGAGCAGGGACCAGAGTGGTATTCTGAGAGTTATCAAAAGAACAGGAAGACGACAGGATCCATCGGGTGGGGGCCTTGAGCCTTTCAAACTGGGGGAATCTTGGCTTAGCATTTGCCAGGGGTAGGCATGTGTCTCACAGATGGGAACCATTGGGTTCCAGGGACAAGGGCCTCTGTGCCAAGAGCCCTTCCAGACAGTTAGGGAGGGGATGTGTCCTTTATGTTTCCTCTTAGCTTCTTCTTTGCCTCTGACATCTCTGTTTTTCTCTCTCCCTGCCTTCCCTCTCCCCTCCTCCTGTCCATGACATCCCTCCACAGCTCCCTTCCCCGCTCCGATGAGAGTCGATACTGACAGCTGCCCCTTTCCCTCCCTCTTCCCAAACCCTGCAACCCACTCTTCCATCAGGATTCTTTTCTTCCCCTTCCGTGAACAGCTGGGTTGCCAGGGTTCTAAACAGCCTAACACTTTGTAGCTTTTCTTATGGCAGAAGACACCCCGCACACTCCCACTCCCACCCCCAGCATATGCTCTCCCACAGGCAGCCCACTCTGCTCCTGCTGACTCCCTAGAGAAGCACACTCTGCTTACGGTCAGATTCCAGACCATCAGGGAAGGAAGAAGGGCCACCCCTGCCAGGGAAACCCTGAAGGAGTGTCCTGCCAATGGATACTCCCTCCACAGTGCCCACTGGCAGCTCTAATCCTGCACCCTGCTGCCAAATACACCTGTCCTTTAGTCTGCTGACGGCAGCCTGTGAGCATATTCTGCCTCCAAGCTGACAGGCTGATGGGACAAGGACCCCTTGGCTTCCCAGCAGGGTCCTCCCAACATTGCCAAACTCTTACTTTCCAAGTGTTGTGTAGATGTCTCAGGTGTTGCTTTGGGGTCTCTACAGGAGACCCACAGACAACACCACTTATTTCAGATAACCTGAGCCTCTCTTGGCAGTAGATCCCAGCAAACCCCAGGACCACTTAGCTGTGTCTTTGAAGATAAACCTGATCCATTAGATCCTGGATTCCCCTCTAACCTCCCTGCCTCCCTCTAAATAGACTCGGGAGACTGTCTTGAGATAATGTGGGGATCACCCTTCTGCTCCCCTCCCTCCCCCACCCTCTGACTGCGTGGTAGATCAGGTGCCCCGCGTGTTCCCTCAAGTCCTTGGGAGCAGGACCTCCCTCTCCCCACTTAGCCCTTCTCCCTCTCAGTGTTGTCTCAATAAAGTGTGGATTCTTCTGTTTTCTAAATTGACATTTTCAGTGAGAAGCGGTTAAGTTTCATTTGTGCCTCATCGACTTTCCTGGGGTCCCTACCTCTCTTCCTCTCATCTTCAGATCTGAGACCTGCAGCCGAGCTCAGGGCCACCTTTTCAGTCTGCCCTGCCCCGTCTTTATTGCTGGTTCTATCCTAGAGTTGCAATAAGTATGCAGACCTCGCTATCCACTTGGGAACCTTAGGTCCCCTCCCCGCCCACAACTTCTACCTCCTTCCCCTGGCCAGCCCTTGATAACTTTATCAAGGATAAAGATTTGTTGGGATCTCGGAATTCACTAACCTCAGGACTGTTTCTGGGTTCGTCTCCTACTCTTTGACTTCCTCATGTCTGCCCCACTAATCCTTCAGTGGTCTCTTAAGACAGACAAGTTCTACCTACATCCGTCCCCACAGGGTACCGGGCATGGTGGCGCATGCCTTTAAGCCCGGCTCTTGGTAAGAGTTTGAAGGGAGCCTAGTCCACGTAGCTAGTTCTAGTCCAGCCAAGGCAACATAGTGAAACCCTGTCTCAGTAATAGTAATAATAATAATAATAGTCCAACAGAGTCTGTCACCCCCCTGAAAAGGCAGCCTTTTCCTCCTAAATTCTGCCTTTTTACTCTGGTTTGAGATTTCTTATATCTAAGGGTAACCATGTTTTCCAAACATCAGGTCACATGGTCCAACAAGCTCTTCTCTTGCATGCATGAGTGTTTTGATGACATAACTGGGTCACATCACATACCACACCACCCCAATTGGAATAAAGCAAGACAGCAGGGATGTGTCAAGAAATAGTGAGGTATAAAATGAGCCCTTCCCCTACCTTTGCTGGGAAAAGCTTAGACAGGATCCCTCTGGGTGACAGCTGCCCATCGTCCTGTTCCCATGCTGCTCCTCTCTCCTACCCCTCCATGCCACCTTTCCTCCAGAGCCTCTTCCCCATCTCCCATTTCTTCTACAGGGGGACTCCCCAGGGGCTGGTAGCCCAAAGCTGCCACTACAGCCGCCATGGGGAAATCCATACCACATCCCTGGGTACAGGTAAGTGGGCACTCTTTCTTATTCTCCAATCACGCGGGCCACACACACACTACTACAGTCTCCCCAGATGCCTGGTATTTCCACAGGCAGCCAAGAACGGAAGCAGGGGGAAGAGGAAGCAGAGGATAGGTGAGGTCCACACGTCCTCCTAATAGCTGCCAGCACCTCTGACACCACTTAACGATACTCTCACTCGCTTCCTCTAAGTCTGTGAACCGGGTGCCGGTTCCCGCGCATCTTTCTACCTAACACCGCACTAAGTCTTCTTCCTCGTGGGCTGAGCTTTGGTGTTTCCTTCTGCCATGGTCTCAAATTTAGACCTGTTAATTGTCCCAGTCTGACAACCCAGCAGGTGTTCTCTGCGACCTTGAAGAACAGTAGCTCCCATTAGCAACTCTAACCTGCTCTCCGTCTCCCCGCCCACCAGGTCGCCCAGTGAGGTTCAGGTCTTGTTACAGGATGGGTCTGGGGAGGAAGCTACTGCGCACACAGTTGCTCCGAGGGTCCAGGCTCCACCAGCTCCTTCGTGGACGGCGGGTGGGGACATAATCAACGCCAGGTTCATTCGAAACCTTCAGGAACGCCGCAGCACCAGGCCTTGGTGACCACAGCCCCCTGGTACTCTCTCCAAGTCCGTATTATTTCTCCTTCACTACAGGACACAGCCAAAGCTCGGCCTTCATAATGGATGCATTCACTCATTCATTCAACAGGCCTGTCAGCTTCAGATCGTTTGTATCTTATTTTTAACCAGAGCAATAAAAGTATTTATTTTTTATCTCGATAGCCATTGAAATAAGTGACTTGTCGTTGCTTCAGCTCACGTACCCCTCTTTACGCCACTCAGCTCTACCTTCGCTCAGCCTTCCCCAGGCCCGGCAGAGGCTGCGCAGGCGTTCTCGGCGCACCTCGGCCCGCCGAG